GAGGATCCTTTGTAAAGCAAGAGCAGCATATTTATCCTCATTAATAGAGGAGAATAAGAATAATCCTAGATTTCTTTTTAATACAGTTGCCAAACTCACCCAGAGCTATCGCTTAGTTGAACCATCAATTCCACCTGCTCTTAGCAGTAATGATTTCCTGGGATTCTTATAAATAAGATTGATCTTATAAAAATTAAGATCATTGGCACTCCTCTTGGTTCGTCACTGGAGGGTGGGGCTGCATCTGAGGTAGTTATGGAATTGGAACCAGGTTTAGACTGCTTTGATCTACTTGAACTTCCAGAGTTAGCAAAACTATTGTCTCCATCTAAGCCTTCAACATGTTTGTTAGATCCAGATCCAACAAGGTTATTTAAGGAGGTATTCCCTTTGATCTACTCCTCCTTTATAGATGTGATTAATCTATCTCTGTTACAGAGATATGTACCAAAGGCTTTTAAGGTTGCTGTAATTAAACCTTTGCTTAAGAAACTGTCTCTTGACCCAGATGACTTGGTCAATTAGAGACCTATATCCAATCTTCCCTTCTTATCTAAAATCCTTAAGAAAGTAGTTGCCTAACAAGTGTATGATCACTCACACCATAATGAACTTTTTGAAGAGTTTCAGTCATGCTTTAGAGCTCATCATAGCACCGAAACAGCTCTGGTGAAGGTTGCTAATGATATTTTCATGGCCTCAGATAATGGACTTGTATCTTTGCTTGTCCTGTTGGATCTCAGTGCTGCATTTTTTAAAGTTGACCATAATATTCTTTTAGAAAGATTTGAATATTTTATTGGAATTAAAGGAACAGCAGTGAAAGTGGCTGGATAAGCAGATCAGGAAGGCCAGTTGTGTGATTCGATGCCCTCTGGATTCAGTACAGGATGTGGGAAACAAAAGGATCCTAACTAAATTAACATCTCTGTTGGATAATGTCTCCCACCCCATGCATGAAGCTGTTGAAGAATTGGAGAGCTCCACCAGGGAGCTTTATCACAGATCCTTCCTCCCAGTAGCTGTAAGACTCTATAACCACCACTGTTCCCAACAACCACAATAATTTGTTACATTCATGCTGATTTTGCACAGTGTCTACCTTAGTCAGTTAAATAACGTGCCTCTGTCATTTTGACCCTCTCTGATGTTGCTGTTATTTTCAAATATCCATTACTGTACAAATGTTCATAGCTGTATATTGGTTATTTATTCTACGGGTCCACAGTTTATATTGTTTTTACAGTACAGTATTTTATTCTTTATCTTTTGGCTCTTCACTATTATGTTATTCTCATATTCTCATGTTATTTTTAAGGTTCGCATTTGTGTGACCATTTTTTCTATAATCTTTCTGCTGCTGTAAACACCATAATTTCCCCATTATGGGACAATTAAGGGGTTTTTTGTATTCTATTCTATTCCATATTTCTTAACAGACATGGGGGTAGATCTGGCTCTGAGTGATAAATCATTTACTGTATTCATTAATCTCAGACAACCATAGCTATAGTATCAGTGTCTTTATGGCCTACTATTCCCTATTACAGTATAAGTGTATCTAATAACTATGAAAACAGAACAAATTACAAAAAAAAATAAGCACAGGATAAAATAAAAGCTAATAAAACGTTAGAAAAAGGGGTCTAAGAGTCTGTCCAAAGGGTCTTGAATGTGTATGTCATAAAACGGGACAGATGGACCCAGTATTCAAGGCGAGACAGCCAGTAGGAAAGTTAAAAAACGTTTATTGAAATAAAAACATAAACAGATGGAAGAGAAGTAAAGCTCCTGAGGATCTGCGGCTCACAACGACTGCAGGAGGGGGGTGGGGCACCGCCCAATTACAGACACTCTGGTAGTGGGAGAAACACAGATGAGTTACCACGAACATCTGACAGGAGATGATTATAAGAGTGAGTCACTTATCTGGTTTAACAGTTCAATTCAAGCCCTGAAAGGGGCACAATCCAGCCGCTTGACTGCCAACTGACACTGCGCGTCACCTTGACTGTCCCTGGTGCTGCAGCCCCAGAGGACTAGCAGGAAGCTGATCAGAGTCAGGGGAGGACAGATCGTACAGGAACAGACAGGATCCAGGCTTCCAGGAATCCTAAGAGCTCCCAGGCAGGTTCAGAGTAAGACGGAGTCCAGAAGTGTGACCAGGCGGACACGCACAGAAGCAGACGGGCTCGTATGCAGACATGCAGTCTCAGTGGTTGAGGGTAACAGAGACAGGATGTTAAACCAGAACTTGATGCCGGAAACTTTAAACTGGTGTCCTCCTTGGAGCCATAATTACAGCAGGGAGGGAAACGGCAGAATTCAGGCCAGATCATGCCAGTTTAAGTTTTAAGGCTTAATGGATTTGGGCATTTAAGGGTGGATGTCTTTCAGAAGAAAAACACAAGCAATTATCTATTCTATACCCTGCCCAAGCTAGAGTACTTCAGTAAGCATCAATAAAAAGAAAGGCAGCTCTCGGAATTAATTGAATGATGCAAAACAACAGAACACTTTTTTTTCAGTCTGCAATCGTTAATTCTTTTGAGCACCTACAAATGCTCCTAGAGGACATATATTTTGTAGGGCAATTGGGCGGTTCAGTGGATTCACAGAGGCACTTTGGCAAACAGCTCTCAGGCCCAGGCTGTTCCGTGGGTGGCAAAAAAGGGTAGACCCGGCAATAACATGTTTTTTTTCTTCTGCTTCGGAGTAGGCAGGATCACAAGGAAACGGAACAAGAATTGGCAGCCTGCTTTTATAACATAATTAAAATGATTTAGGTTAATTCCTGCTAAAATGCACCATCTGCTGGTAAAACAGTGAATCACATTCACCTTAGGAAGAATGGGGGTAATCTTTAGAACTATGAGGATCACTGATGAGGTAAGGTGTGTTGTGATTTTATGTTCAATTCTATTCCCAGCCAGCTGGGAATTTATATTTCTGATACTTTAAGATGTCTATTGCCCTCCCTGCTACAGGTAGTTAAATATCTTATTAAATCAGATATTATTTCGGCTGTTACATATTGTTGATAGATACACGCCCTACTAGCTGTGTGTTAAAACAATAAATGAAAGAGTGATTCAAGCTCTAATCATGGTCAAACTGTTAAATCTGGACATACATGGAATAAATTGACCACAATTTCTGTTCAAAATATAAGAGTTTAATAACAAATATCATTCAGCTCCAAGTCAAAAATATTTCAGTTTAACACTCTATACTAAAACTAGTGAAACCCAACTAAACTTAATTACTATGTACAAAGAGGAAGGGAAACATGGTTGAAAACCATATCACAGTTTAAGGTGGATTTTGTATTTGAAAACAAAAGTTTATTTGGAAAAATTTGGTATATGACCAAATAAGCTTTTCATTAATTTTGAGAAATTGGAATGTTTTCAGACCAATTCACAATGCAAATCCATGAGGTGAATAAAACATTATTTGGCCAAATAATGTTTTATTAAATGATTTGCTTAATCAAGAACCAATAACCTTTAGTCAAATGATTCGTTACCCTCTTTGAAATAACTAGCAGCGATAGGGGCGAGAGGGGGCTGGCAAGTCACACCTCTGTGGGAGGTATTTCAAGATGAAATATGGACGCTGGTTCCAATGTCCAAAAACCATGATCATGGCATATGACAACATATTGTTGGTTCAACAAATCACAACTCTCTCTCTTGCTTCTTTACAGAAATGCAATCAGCTGCCTTCTCCTGTTTTAGCATAGATACTGTTTTTTAGTTTTTTAACTGGGAGTAGTTTTGAAAATTTTAATCTTGCACTCCAAGCATGCACGCACACATACGGACAAGAAAACAGACAAAAGGAAGTGAGAAGGATGAATTTAAAGGAGAACAACCGATGAGAGTGGAGTTAAGCAGCACAGCACAGTTACTGACTATAAGGGAAGAAAAGACTGGGTATAACACCACTCCATCTGAGTGGCTGCGCGGCATAACAGAAGCAGCAGCAACCAGGCAGCGAAGCCAGCGAGAGGAAAAGAAGTGACTATTGCAAAAACACTGTATTGTAAATTATAACTATGTTATTCACATCAAATTATTTATAGAAACAGGTAGGTTGATCCAAATTTTGGGAAGGGACAGGTCCCTATGATCCCTATGCAAACCTGTGCCCATGTCTAGAGGTTACAGGGCAAAGAGAATGGGACGAGTTTGCGCCATGGTTTTAAAGGGACATGAAGTCAGGGTCTTACATCACTGACATTTTATCTCCAACAATACGTATAAAACAATGGTGCTATGAAATCCAAATAACTGCCAAAGATTCCTCCTTCTGAGTGGTCGAAGTTTCCCAGATGGTACACAGATGTTTGTATAATTGCTTGAACCACACACGAGCAAAGGGAAAATTCTGTGCTTTCTACATGGCCTTCCAAGAGTAATCTGGGATTAAGAAGAGAGACACCAGAACCAACAAGCCATAGCTACATACATATTGACACTTTTGATAGTAGGTTTCTTTTATTTTTATTTTTTAATCAAATCATTTCACCTTACATTGTTTGATTTTCCAGAGATTCACTTTATCTATAATCCATATCCACTGTTTTCTTACAAGTATAAGTGGTTCTTGTCAGTTTACGGCACCTTGGAACAAGTCAACAATGCGATATCTAATAAGAGTAAAAGTTTGCCTATTTCTCAACACATATTTGACATAATTCCAACAACTCTGTTAATCCTGCTCCCAAGCACAGTTTTCTCTCCAATATTATTTTCAACAACTGTGAGATATCAAGTTAATATCACTTGCATTTCAATTCATCATTTAATGCTTCCACTTATGAAAATGGCTATGATGATGAACGAGGTTTGGCATGAAAAACATTATTCTAATTCTATACAGCATCCTGGAATGTATTTATCAGCCAGGAATACATTTGATCAATGCATCTAAAATATTTAGTCTAATCAAACATGAATCGAAAAATTTATTACAGATTTAAAATAATACACAGATGAGCTTTTTATAAAATGTTTTATTGTTATTGTGTATTTCTGCTTCACAAAACAAGCAGGATTAGAAGATTTTTTTTTAGCATCAGAGCCATATTACAAACAAGCAATAAAAGTACAACATAGTGACCACTCAAACCTGAATGTGAAAAATTTTCACTGTTGTATATTTATAGAGCATTAGAAATCAACTGTAGCTGCAACAAAGAGCAGCACATGTAAAATCAAGAAATATTGCAAAGAAACAGGAATCAAATCTCAAATAAAACGTATTTCTAAAATACCTATCAGGACTAGCATAAAATGTAGTTTCTAAACAGTCTCTTAGTATGATGTTCATTTAATTGAGGAAACATTTGTGCACATGATTAAACTGTTGTTCTCTTGAGACTATGAGAGGTTTGTCTTCCTGTAATGTTTATCACTCATTAGTTACTCTTTTCTAAGTTTTATTTAAGTTTTTAGAGTGCTGTTAGTAGAAAAGTTCCTCCTTCTCTAAAGTCACTGGCTTATTGTATGAAATAGGTTGTTGTGTTTCTTGGTGCATCCTTTTCGTGCTGTGCTCATGCAGTAATCTTTCCTATTTCCTATACAGCTCAGTTTACATTTTTGTCTCAACCTATTTTGAAATTGTGTGCTTTGTGGCATATTTATACTATTTAAAAAACATAACTGAATCTAATCCATTTGACAGAGAATAAATACCACTCTTCAGATGCCACAAAACCTCTCGCTGATGTCCCACAGCTTCTTTGAGGCAGCATCATCCTCGGCCTTCTTAAAGACTTTTCTCACGGTGCAGTCGGAGAAGTAGCGTCCACTGAGGTGTTCAATGCCCTCCTGTAGGGCACAGTGCAGAGTGGTTTGGCTTCCTTGGACGGCGTTCTTGAAGAAATACATTCCCATGTACTTCAACACCATTTGCACGAATGAGCTTTTATTCCTGGCCAGCTCAGTGTAGATGCTTCCTGTGGGAAAATAAATGTTTTTTTGATGAATTTTCTTTTGGTGAAGCAATTCTATCCAACAAACAAACTGGTGTTGCTTATCTCCAAACCACTAAAGGAAAATTATCAATGGGAACAGACCATAGATATTACAATGAAATTCTGGCCATTTTTCAATTCACAAAAATATGAGTATGGACTTATGTTCTCAAAGAGTATGTGCTATCTAAGCTCTGAGAGCGCGCCACAGGAAGCTGCTGCTGCCGTGTTCTGTACTGAGACAGCTGTCAGTATGAAGGATGCACAAGTCTGCGCTCGGGAGGCGCGCGAACAGCATCTAGGATTTTGTGCTGTGGCTAATGACATTTAATGAGCACATGAAAATGCCCAAGTACACGTATTGAGAAGCAGCCATTGTCTTTGGACCAAAACCATAAATTGGATGCTCACCAAGCCCACCATTTGAAAGGATGAAAAAAGATATGTTTTTCTTTGAATCTTTAATCTTTCTTAGCATCCTTTTTTATGTCTTTATGAATGGTTTGGGAACTCACATGGGGAGTTGATAGTTTGCAAGCCTTATTTTTCTTTTGAATTAGTCCAATTTTGGGATTTTCTAGATTTACTTTTGTGTGCCACAAAATCTTGAATTTGGTGTCAATGCAAGATGTTTGCACTTATCAGCCGTACTCTTGCATCAGCATTACTTTATATTTTTAACTATATATATTACATAAAAACAAGCTAACTATTAGGTATGTAAGACTGATTTACAACATAAGATGATACTCCTTTAATCAGTTTTAATAAAAATTATTTTTAATGTCCAACTAATAAAGACAGTAGTTTTGTCCCATGTTATCTCTAAATAGCTATACAAAATTGTATTCCTACTCTGACTGTTACCTTTGTATTATGAGATTGTTGTTCTTCTCTAATCTCTCTACAAACAATGCATCAACTTCAAGAATGTCAGTGCTGGGAAAATCCCATAACAACAGCTGACATTGATTTAAGGTTACTTAAACTAATTGGAATATTGTTTATCAAAGTAACACTACAACACAAATGTCACATTAAAGGTGGAAAGTGTTTTGAAATGAATATTCATGTTCTAGTTTCTATGTACAAAAAAGCTGGTTTGGTTGCACACATACAGCATAAACTGTCCATTTTTTGTGAGACTGTCTGTCTATCACTTGAATGGATCTTACCCGGATGGAGGGAGTAGCAAGTGACCTTGGTTCCTTGAAGTCTTTTGGCTAGCTCATGGGTGAAGAGAACATTGCACAGCTTAGAATCACCATATATCATTACGCTATCCCAAAAAGATGTCCCTTCTCTCAGGTCTTTGTGGGTATTCAGATAGTTGAAATCAACTCTTCCCCAGTTGTGTGCTGTAGATGACACAGTAACTACCCTGCTTGGTGCACAATCCTTAAGTCGATCTAATAACAAGTTAGTTAACAGGAAGTGGCCGAGGTGGTTGACACCAAACATCGTCCCAAATCCATCTTCAGTTCTTCCCACCAGGACAACACCTTAAGGAAAAAACATGGAGAACCAACAGTCATTTCCAACGAAAGTCATACAAAAATCTGTAAGAAAATCTTAAATCTTACTAAGAGAAGACTGAATAAATATGTTGCTAAGATAAACTCTTAAGGCCAGGGTGTCTGGTATGTGGAGATTAATCTAACCAAACAGTTCTTTAAAACACCTTTGTTGCCCTTTAATGTTTTACTATATTAAATTCAATTTAAAATTACTTTATTGACTCAAAGGAAAATCAATTGTTGCAGTAACTCATGGCCAGTTTTTCAATTAGATTTTATAGGTGTTGATATAGGGTGACCAGATGTCCTCGTTTTCCTGGACATGTCCAACTTTTCATACCAAAAAAAATGTTGAGGGGGAATTTCAAAATCGTCCGTGATATTGATCGACTACAGTGCAGCAGAACCGAGCCGTCAGCATCATGGTGAAGCTGGTTTGAAATTAGATATTGGATATTCAAGCTCCGAGGAGTCAGCTGTATCTATCTCACGGTTGATCCGACGGAGACAGCCAGCGTCTCTTAGCTGCTCTCTCCTCCCACACGCGGTGGTGCAGTTAGAGACCATCAACAAATCTTTGAACCAAGCACTCTTGAGAAACAAAATTCAATAAATTCCTTATTTTATGACCAGCTAAGTAAAAACTAATATAAAGTAATTCCAATAGATAACATATGTAAGGCACACTTACTTTTATGCAATTTTAAGCTATTTTCAATTGTTAAGATATTTTTGAAGACAAAAGTTGGGACTTTTCTTCAATAGCTTCCAGGTCATGTGACCTACTGACTCAAATTCTTTGTGAAATTGTTCTACTACTCTAGCCTGATGGGGCACACTCATTTTTATTCCATTTCAAGCCTTTGTATATTTTCGGGCAGGCGGGGGGAAGCATACCATCAGCGGTTTGGTTCGGTTGCTCCGACCCCGGCTGGAGCTGATGGCTCGGTTCAAAAGTCCAGTTAAGACTTTGTTCCTAGTATAAAGTCAAACATCTTTGATATTTTCGATGTTCTTAGGGTGCTGCAGTGGTTTCTGCAGTCTTTGTTTTTCTCCCTCTGCCACAGGTGGCTGCTGATTAGCAGGGAGGGGTTAGGTGTTTTGTGGTGGCGGGATGTTACGGCTTAAATGGGAACGCTGTTTTTTTTACATTGGCCCATATGAGTTTTGTGTCATTTGGAGCTGTTCTGAAGATATTCCGTCCAAGTAACATCTTCCTATGGGCAAACGACTTGAAGGCACAAACTAAACTGTTCATAATTTATCATTTATGGTAAGCCAGCATTCATAACATGTAGGCGAATCACTGTTTCCCACAACATCCCTGGCTATATATTTTATATTTATACTTTTTAAAAACAAAGCGGAGTGTGTATGGCGTCTTCCGCGCACCGTTCTGGAGTTGTGACAGGCAGCCCGAGCCACCAGCCGCTACGCTCTACCCCTTCTTTTAATTCTGCTTGGTAATCTGAATCGTTCCATTCCATTTCGAGAGCGAGATCATCTGTGGTAGTACAGTGGGTACTGGTTGGGAATGGACGGTTTCCAGCGGGATTCCTGCAGGATTCCTGCGTGAATCACGATGTATTTCCTGAGGCCAGTTTTTTTTATTTCAAAAAGAACTGCAATGTACCCGGACAAACAACAGGTGGCACTTGAGAGCTCTGCCGTGCTAAAGGTGACGATTTGTGGGCCTGTAGTCAAATGAAAAGCAGGTTTATTGGGGATCTTGGTGTGATATTGTGCTATTTTATGATGTTTTTGATTAAAATAAAGTTAATTAATTAATGTAACATAGTGACTGCATTATCTTATTTCATGAAAATTGTTGCGTAGTTATAGATACACCTCCGATCTTATCTGAGAACTGTTTATTTATATTTATCTGCATCTCTATTATTTAATGAAAAATAAAATGAATTAAATTGGATATGGACTGAGGCGCAACCAGAGAAAGGCGACAGAGACAGTACTGCGGCTGGTGATTTTGAAATTAAAATCATATCCAAAATTGATTCCTCATTAAGATAAGCCAAAGTTGTTCAAAAAGGTATGTAAGAAAATATATTTTATTTAGTTTTGTAAAATATAAGTGCCGTTGACAGCTTTGAGGATCAAAAGTTAAGCTAATCTTTAACTGTGTTCATTAAAATCCATCGAGAGTTTGTGTGCTTACGCTGTAATAAAAAAAAATAGCCATAGTAAAAAACATTTCACGTTCAGACTCACAAAATTAACAGATTTTATCACTTAAACGTTTAGCCTCGATGGGGTTTTGGCTAGGTGACTGTAAAGCCTATTTTAAAGCTATTATGACAAACCCGTTTTTAAATCAGTTAGTGACTACACACACAGGATGGAGGAGGAGACAGGAGCAGAGCAAGAAGAGCAGCCACCTGTCGCTACCACACCGTGGCCTTATCTTCAGAGATTTTGAAACTTGTTGAATCCTCTGATAAAAAGTACGTGTTCAGATGTTTTAAGGCTTATTTGCACAGATAAGATTTTTTTAGGTATGGAGGAACAGCTCTCCCATGTATAAAAATAGGAGCTGAGCAGCTCCTGTAGTCAGAGACTTAGACACCCTGTCTGTAAGAAGGAGCGCTACTGCAGGTCATTCATTCCTGCTGCCCCCAGACTCTATAATAATGCACTATAACCACAATAACTACTGTAAAAACCACTGTGCAGCTACATTATAGTTTTGTATTTATTGACTGTGAACAATATCCTGTGCAATATGTTGAATGTGCAATATTTCTCCCCCTGTATATGAGCCATCCAGATTGTACATATCTTTATTTCTTATTTTTTTATTTCCTATTTTTATTTTGTTTTTCATTGTGTGCAATACATGTACACTTGCACCTTAATCCTACAGTATTTATCTTGATATACTGTATATACCTGGATATACTGTATATATATTGCTTATTCTTAATGCACCTTTTTCCTCCCTGTTTGCACCTTCTGTAACTTCTATGCCAATATGTGACGAGCAGAGATGGGAAGTAACGAAGTAAAAATACTTCGTTACTGTACTCAAGTAGATTTTTCTGATATTTTTACTTTACTTTACTACTTATTTTTATGGCGACTTTTTACTTCTACTCCTTACATTTTTACACAAATATCTGTACTTTCTACTCCTTACATTTTAAAAAATTGGCTCGTTACTTTAGTTTTGAATCATTTCAATGGAGTTACCGTTATTATTTTTCACGTCATCAATACCAAATTCAATCTAATTGGATGGGAATCTACGTTGCATTTGACGCACCACTACAAGATGAATCGACAGATTCGGCGGTATTCATTGGCGGCAAATCATTGCAGCTTGGTGGCGGTGGCGTTAGCATAGTAGCATGGACGACGAGATGATTGAAAATGAACACAACGGAGATCTAGTCCTATTGGCAGACATCCATTTAAAATGTAGGCAACGGCATGAAAAAAGTGGTTTCTACTTTTACTTTTATACTTTAAGTAAATTTACAAGCCTGTACTTTGTTACTTTTACTTGAGTAAAGAAGTTTAATCAGTACTTCCACTTTTACCAGAGTATTTTTTAACACAAGTATCTGTACTTTTACTCAAGTAAGGAAAGTAAGTACTTTTGCCATCTCTGGTGACGAGTGAATTTCTCCGCTGTGAGATCAATAAAGCTCATCCAATCATCTAGTCTAAATAAATACATAAATAAATACATGTTCAATAAATAAATAAGCATTCGATTAATTACCCCCCAAATATATGGTTAAATGATATGTTCTCATTATAAATCATTTATTTAAAAAATGCTGTTATGTTCCTTTTTTTTGTAAAGATGCTTTTAAAATGCTTAACTGTTTTTATTCTTTTATTTTCTTTCTAAAAATCACTAGATTTTAAAAACACTCATAGTTTTTGAAAGGTATTTCTTCTGTTATTAATATTAAACATTTAGAGGGTTTAATAAAAATTAGGCCTGCAGTGTAAAAGTAGCCAAAGATTCCTTATCCGGTACAATTCTAGTGCAGTATCAGAAGATTAGAGGCACATCTGGCCCAAATCCAGAGCAAATCAGGGAAAAAGGGCAAATCATCTGGTATGGATCCGGCCCGTAGCTGACCCTCATCAGTAAAATGGGTCCGTATCGGTATTGGCCCGTTGTGCTAAAAGACACCGGCCCAGATCCTTTGCGCGGATTTGGTCCAGATGTCATGATGAATCTGGGCTGGATCCGGGCCAAATACATTTTGTTATCTGGGCAGTGTTTAGCTGTCACATGATTATTAAATGATGTAGTTATCATATCATGCGTCAGTAACGGGGAGGTTACCTGTTACAGGTGCATGAACACTCTGCTCTTTGAGCTCATTCATGCAGTCTGAGCTTGTTTTGAAATTAAATGTATTAATTAATAGTAGATTATTATAGGCTACTTATAGCTACAGAATATTTGATGCCATGTTATGCAGAAGTAATGCTTCTTATATCTTGATCTAAATAGTACATTACAGTGAACCCTCGCTATAACGCGGTTCACTTTTCACAGTCTCGCTGCTTCACGGATTTGCATCATGCATTGTTAAACCTCATTGTCAAACATAATCAATGGTGGCATGTCAGTTTATAAGGATCTTTTGGCCAAGAAGAAAAAAGAGCAACAACAACTACCGATGTTCTTCTCTCAAAAACACACACCTGCACCGCAGGCTTTAGAAGAAAAAAACGCCACAGAGCAATCAGGAGGCAGCGGCTCCGTCAGAACAGCAGTGAAATACTGTACTGTACTGTACATGTCAGTGTTGGAAGCTGGAGAAGTACCACCTTTCTCCAGCAGAGTCCGCCGTGGATCCTCCTGAGCTGAGCCTCCTTCACAGCTGCAGCTCATTCCATCATCAGAGGATCCACTACTTAAGCTGTCTTCAGAACTTGCCTCAACGCCGCAGTGTTGATCCAGTTGGTTAGCACTAAGCCTAGAACCTTCTGAGAACTTTTGT